CACATGACTGAACTCCTGCCAGGGCTTTGGGACAGAGCAGGCCGTCCCGAGTGCCGCACCACTTAGTGTCCGCATTATCACAAATACTCACCGGCTCGGTTACAGCAGCACGGGGAGCGCAGTTGTCCCGACCTAAATCCTGCTCCTGTCACCTCCTGCCCAGCACAATTGCCCGCCCCGTGCCCCAAAACAGAAAGCGCCGATAGATGGAGATATCTTTCTGTGCCACGCAGGGTGTGGGATTGCTGCGCGGCCGTGTTTGGGAGCTGGGGCTGCCCTCAGCCACTTCCACGTGGGACACACACGCAGCCTTCCAGCACTGCTGCCGTACAGGGACATTTCACCAGCCTAAAGTAATGCAAAATCTGCCTTCTCCTGTTCTTCCTCGAGCGCAGAAATACTACGAGAGGACTTCATTTCACTTTTTTTTCTTCGAACGTATACATGTCACTGAACGGCCAAAACTGATGGAAATGAAAAAAACACACAGTGAGTCCCCAGATCTCCCCTGGCCGTGCACAGGGAGCCCAGCACACCGCGACACCGGCTGCAAGGCTGGCTGAGCGGCTTGGTAAGAGTCAATGCAATAAGCCCCATGTTCTGCAGAAAGGCACAGGGTCTATTAACATCACAAACAAAACTTTAAAGACTGGTTTTGACGCACGCTGGAACAACCGTGTATTGGAATTAGGTTTTCAAAAGCCTTATATGCAGATGAAATGTCACGGATGCTTTAAAAGTCTTCAGATACATGTAAAAACGACATGTCTATTACATATTATCTTCACAGAACAAACACCATTTGAAATGTGCCTCTTTTTAACTACCGTTATGAGCTGTCTAAAGAGCATTTTGGTTGAAACTTGGGAGGAAAGGGAAAAAAAAAAACCCACTGATCTTACACCTGCTCTTTAGCAGTGGGAAGTGGGTTCTCAATCTGTTAACATGACCATCTGGCCAATCTGCATATCACGGCGATCTGGATTACTGTACGGAGGAATGACAATAACGTAGCCAAAACAAAAGTAAAATGCATCAAATACTAACAGTAGCGCGGCCCTTTTGATTTTAAATTAAATAATAAACGTGGTATCACAGCAAAGCGGGGAAGTCGTCTAAATAATTAAATACGAGCCTTCGCCACGGCATAATTAAGTAAACAATATGGTGTGCGTCCTATAGGAGCCAGCAATACTTTGCACAGCCAAACGCCAGACTTTTGCAGAGCTGGAGATGCTGCGGCAGCTCTTTCCGTGATGCACGGCATTGTCAGAGCACCTCTCGCACCGCCGCACCGCCGGCCGGCCGCGGCTATTAGCGGGATTAATGCAGCAACAATCAATAACAATTGTACTAAAGGATCACGGTGCAAAGCGGGCTGTACCTCTCAGACTTGGAGCTAAGCGATACCTCCGCAGCATTTCGGCTATCTGCAGCCCCTTGCTTTATTCGCCAGGCTCTGCCTTATTCTGACTGGGGCCTCTCTGCAGTGCTCCAAGTAGAAATGTTTTAAATCTGCCAATGGGTCCACCTAAAGTTCAAGGTCGTGTGCCATACACTGCTGCCCAGGCAATGGCCACAGACTGCATTTAGACCCTCAGTGAATTCTTGCAGTTGCGGAAATAATGCTGACTTTTTGCATTTTCTCTGGCTCTTATTTTAAACATTAAGAGAAGCAGAAAAAATAGCTCATTGAAATAAACAGCCATCTCCAGCTTTTCCTTAAATTTCAGATTTTTAAATGTCCTTCCAAAAGACCGAAAGCTTTTCTCCCCCAGAACCACCTGGCTAGCACAACTTGCCTGGGACAGTGACGGCAGCCCTCCAAAAAAGCCAGAATCGGGCATCGCAGCGTCGCTCCCCGGCCCGGCATCCAGCCCTGCCCACTGCCAGAGCCTGCAGAACTGGGACCTTGCACAGAATTTAACTACTTCCATGGCGAGCCTTTCCTCCAATCTGATCACATTAGCAGAAGGAACTCCAAAGCAGTAAAAAACTCCTGAAAGTTCTCGGTTGAGTGCCTACTAATGAACAAAGGTTAACTTTATCTAAAAGGTCAAATGCCTGGTGGCTAAGGTTGTGACCTTAACAACTTAAATTGTGACCTTGCCACGTGCCTAGTATATTGCAGATTCTGATACAGATCATCTGGTAAAGGACTGGCCATAAATTAGCTTTACTGTTTGACTCCCACAAAGAAAACGGTTTGCCACAATGGTTTCCAACTTGTCATTTGATACAAGTGCAGAATAAGGGAAAACTAAAAAGCAAACCCAAGTTTAGGGTATGAAAATGCCACCTGCTTTTAGTTAAGCAGATTAGAAACTGCAAACAGAGAGCAATACTCTAAATTTCAATACATTTTTGGTCAACCTCTAATTCACAGAACACCGTTCTTCCTTTCCTCTCCTTTCCTTTTTTTTTTAATGAAAAAGACACATCGTTTGTGTATTTGCATATTTTTGTTTTCTCTTTCTAGCCAGTTCTTAAAGGGAATAATTGATTTCAGTAGCTTTGTGAGAAGCACTATTTAAATCTGAGCACATGTGTTCTCCTACAGATGATAGTGCCTACTGAAGAAAAAGCGTGGATTCAAAGCAATAATTATGGTGCACGTTTAGAAGGAGAGGGACATCTCGCTGCTGAAGTCATCTCGAATAAGGCATCTTGGAAGGGAACGCTCCCTCAAAAAAAAGAAGAGTTAAAAAAAAAAAGAGAGAGAGAGAGAAGAAAAAGCACTACGGGTGAAAAGGTCACAATGGTTTTGGCACATATCTCCAAGCACGTTTCAGAGTCTGTGCCTCCTGCCAATACTGGCAACTTCTCAAAACTTTTAAGGAGGTAAAAACATTGTTTAGTGTTTACAAATCTTCTGTACTATAGCAGATGCTTGTCAAATCCGCTATATGTAAGTTGACCGGCCTACCTAGTATCAGTGCTGGCACCTTCCTCCCCAGAGCTACCCGGTCCATACATTGCTGGAGGCGGCCCTGATGGAGCTACAGACAAAGGACCCTTAATATTTTCCTTTTGTACCATTCCTGTTGCGCACATGGCACAAGCTGCCATTACTGCGGGTCTGCGGGAACCAATGGCTGGCAACTTGGCCAATGTTCAGGTGCAACAAAGACTGCTGGGATACCTCGGAGGGGTGAAAAAAAGAGAGGAAAAAAGGGGAAAAAAAAGGTAGAGAGCTTCCAGCACACCTCTGTGCAGCGACACAGGGGACACCCGACCCGCGATCCATCCTAAGCATCACTTTGTCCCCGTGGCGGTGCAGCAGCAAACCCGCAGCACAACGAGCACAGCGTGCTGCAGCCGGAACCACGGCGCGGTGTGCACCCACTGCTCACTGCAGACAGACCCTGCGAATCCACAGCACTGAGGTCCCAAGCTCTGCACCAACGATCTACAGCAAGCAGCTCCAACAATCAGTGAGGCCGCTGCCCGTTGATGATGAGCGTAGAAACACATCAGTTTGCTATCAAGGGTAGTGTTTGCCAGCAGCACGCTGATAAGATGTTATATCCCTAATCACAATATTGAACTTCTACGGCGTCTCTTGCCTGGCTGCTGCAGCAGGAAGAGAACCTCTGGCCCCTTGCAGCACCCAAGCCTGGATTTCCCCTTTTCTCCCCATCCTGTGTCCCTGTGATCCTCCCTGCGGGCTGAACCCAGCCTCTGCTTTCTGCTGGCAACCCTCGCCCTGCGCAGAAGGCCACTCTGCGCTTAGGAAATGCAATAGGGACCAGTATTCAGCATCCTAAAAAAACCTAAAAGCCTGGGGCAGAGCCCTGGCCCTGTTCTCTGCTCAGTTCACAGCAGACGGTAATCCCTGCTCCATGCCACATAACAAAGCACAGAGCAAATACAGCCTTTGGGCGGCGGGAAGGTGAGCGTGATTCAATCATGCTGCAGGGCTGGGTGCTGGTTGTGGGGATGGCATGAGGAGGGCCACACAGTCAGCCCCAATGTGGGCTGCATTGCAAGGGCATGGCAGGAGAATTTGGAATGGCCAAAAGTTCCTACGCACCCCTCCAAAACAACGTGGTGTTGGAAACACCAACTCCCAGTGCTGCAATTTGCTATGTTTCCTATATATTTATATATACGGGGTCCGCATGGGTATGATCCCGCCCTCGCCCCCTGCTCTCTCTGCCTGCCCAGCCCCTCCACTTGCAGGCCAGCCTGAAGCCAGGCCAACCTGCATGTCCTATATCCACCCTACACACATCCCCTCTACATCGTGTATCGGACGACCAGGGCCCAGCACTGCACTTGCTCACGTCTTTCTGCAGCACAATTGCCCATCAGAGACACGATGCCATGTTATTTTCCACCCCAGCCCTCTGCTCACCCTCTCACACATTGAGGCAACCCCAGGCAGGTGCGGGACCCCTGCATTTCCCATTTCATCACATATAAAAACAGTTCAGCCCTCCCCAGGCGCAGTATTATTCAATGAAGAATTCGTTTCAAGAACAGACCAAATTCTTTGTGTATAGACTGCGATGTTTTAAGGTTGTCTTTTTTTTAAATAAAAGGTTTGGCCTCAATTCCCCAATTTTTTACCCAAAATGACAACCTCACATTTGTTATCTGCACCTTCCAGCTGCCAACTGGGGCTCCTCTCCCTTTCCCATCTCTCCAGGTGAGGATGCCTGGTAGCCCTGTCCTCGGATATCCCAACCCTCTACAATCGCTTCATGCATAACAGGCACAAAGTTAATTTTAGAAGTAAAACATCAAAAAAAAAATAAAAAAAATTGGGAATTCTCCCCGCGTTCCCTCCACCGCACAAAAAAAAATAGAAAAATAAAAGAAGCCTGGATAATACCTGAGCAAAGTGCCCCAAACACCAAACTGCCATTAACCCCAGGAAAACAAGAGCTGTGCCCGGTGAAGAAGGGCAGATTTGGGGCCGCGCTCCCTCCCGCCCGCACCAAACCCGCCGGGACGCAGACGCGCGAGGTGGAGAAGTGGTATAGAAAGGCACTTACCTGCGGCGTGCACAAAGTATGCCAAATATAAATCGAGTTCCTTAACAGAAACTCCTATATGGTGGGGCTGTACGCACAGCCCGGGGTTAGAGCACTGTGGGGACTTTACAAGGCGCTCGCCATCAGTACTTTCGAGCGGAATACCTTTAAATAAAATCACCATAACGAGGTCCAACCTCCAGACCTTATCTGCCTGGCGAAGGCAGTCAATTCTTCTCATCTTGCCCTTCTGGTCTGGATTGGAAAGGACGCAACACGGAGGCTTTTTTCCTGTGACTGTGAGAACAAAATCCTCCCGAAATTCAGGCCTGATATCTTTCCGAAGCTTTGCCAGAAGTCTGGACGCCCATTTCTGCTTTACCTCGGGTTTTTCACTTAAGAGTTCGTCCTTCACGGCCCTCTCTTCCTCTTTTGACATGCGTTTCTCATGTTTTTTGAAGTATTTTCTCTTTCGGGCTTGCAGGTTGAACCATGTGTACGCAAACGCTCGGACGTGAGGCAGAAGTGCTTCGATGAAGGGATGAAATTCATCCTGAAAAAGTCACAGAGAAGCGTCGGTGTCACGCAAAGCACAGCGAGGCCCGAAAAGAGCCGAGCGGCCCCGACCCCCTGAAAGGAGAAGCGGGGCCAGGATCGGGCCCCCAGCCCCAGTTTGGTGGAGAAAAGGGCAGAAGGAGTTAAAGGCACGGGGCCGGCTGGGTGCGGGGACTCGGCCGCTCGCAGCGCGTATCTCCCTCTGCTCCCTCCCTGACCCCGCTGCTTGCGGCGTCGCCAGCGTGTGCCCGCCAATTTGGCAAATTCGGAACGCTCGGATGCCAATCCCTGTTTGTGTGGGGAAGTCTGAAGTATAGCGAAACTTTCCCAAAGATAACTTGGAAATGGCAGCGCGCTGTACAGTAACGCGCAAGTGGAGCCGTGCGTGCGAACACGGCGGCGGTGCTCTGCTTGGAGGACGGAGCGCCGCGGCCGCCCAGCTGAAATCTTAAAAAACACCAAATAGTATTAAAAAAAAAAAAAAAAGGTGAGGATTACAGTCCATTAAAAAAAAAAAATTAAAATTTTAATCTGACATTGCGGCATGTTAAGATTCCAAAGAGTTTTGATAAACTGAAAGGAGACCCAAAAAACTGAAAAGCGCAGTGATAGAAAAGCTTGGCACAACTCATGCAAACAAGCCAATAATTTTTTTTTTTTTTTTTTTTTTTTTTTTTTGTGTTTTTTTTGTGTGTGTGTGTGTGTGTCAGGCTGTATTTTCACACACCCAAAAAGAAACTCCGTACTTGGAAAGTTAGTTTTGCCATCCAGAGACACTGCTCTGTGCCAGGATGTGCTACAGATCCCCTCTGCCCGGGCACAAAGTAATCACAGTTACAGTTCTGCTGACCACGAAAAAATGCAAGAAAGACCCCTTTACTTTTGTAAAAAAAATACAGATATAGATCTATTATGCAGAAATAGATCAATGTCCTCAAAAAACACCACGTAAACCAGCAGAGGGATCGACCCAGGCTGTGCCACGCTGGGGCCGCACTCTCAGTTCCTACACCAAATGAATGAGCGCAGCGCACGTCACAGCGCCTGCGGGCCGATCCCACTGCTGCACGGCCCGATCCCATTGCCCACAGGGCCCAATCCCACTGCCTGCAGGGCCTGATCCCATGGCTGCAGGGCCGGGCGCCTCCAGGCTTCATGTTGGGCCCTGCGGGGATGCACAGCAGCTGCTGCACACGGGAGAGTTGCTGTCCCGTCCCGCAGGGCAGCGCTGGGGTTCACATTAGTTAACTTTTGAGTACCGAAATGATCGCGTGGAGCGTTTCCGACCCAAATCATTTCGGGTTGTAAATGCCATTATAAAAACAGAAATATCACGTCCTTCTGATAACATTATTTGAAGTTCTATTTCTTTTCAAATAATGATGAGAACTTGAGCACTCAGTAGCAGAAATACCCATCAGCAGATGCTGCCCTAACTCAGGAGCTCCTACTGACTTCCCCCAAGGTTCCCCCGCACTGATTCTGACGGCCCTTACGCTGTAAATACTTCAATCCATAGCGCTGTCACAGCGGTCATTTTTACTTTGAGCACAGAACGTGCAGAGCCATCCACCCAGCCCAGGAACCACAGGACGACGGATGAGCATTAACACCAAAGCAGGTAAAATAAAATAAATCACTCTGATGATTGACGCATTCCTTTTTTTTTTTTTTTTTTTTTTTTTTTTTTTCCCTCTCCCGTCTTGTACTGGATGGAAGAGATCATAGTTTCAAATTTCAATAAAGTTTGGGGGGGGAGGAAAAAAAAAAATAATAAAGATTGCCAAGAGTTTGCAGTCGGCAGATTCACAAAGTGGGCGAAGGCGCACGCGGAGCTGCTCTGTCTCTCCTACGAGGGAGGGAAGGAGACGGACCGCAGCTCCCTGCGAGCTGCCAAAACCCCAAAGCCAGCTCCTGCTCCTCCTGCTCCTCTTAGGGCGGAAAAGGCCTTTGTGGGGTCCTGGTTGTGCACACAGAGCGCTGCCGGACCGCGGGGAGCACTGCTGCGAGCAGAGCGCTCGCTGAGCACGTCTTGGTGGGGCTGAAATATTGCAACTTTTCTGCTTTCTGCAGCGCTTTGTCCTGACGGATCTCATGTGCTCGGGACTTTTTTGGCTCGACGCTGGACGCCATCCAAGAGCGAGCTGCTGTAACCTGCGCTGCAGCCCGTTCCTACAGCGGGAACCTGAGCGGGGAGGGAGCGGCAACACAGGAAAAAATATATATCTATTTAAAAAAAAAAAAACAACCACTTGAAAAGAGCCAGGGGAAAAAAAAAAAAAAAATTCAACAAAAAAAAAGGCGGTGTGAAGGCAGGGGTTGGAGGCAGCGGGAGGTGAGCGGCCGTGCCAGGCTCCGGGTGCTGCTCAAAATGGTGCGCGGCGAGAAGAGGTTAATGGCTCACACAGCGACCCGCAGCCCCGGCACGGCACAGCCTGCAGCTCGGCCGGCTCCGTGGCACAGAGAGCAAAGCGCCAGGACTGTGGGGTGGGAGGGGAGCGGGTCTGCACAGCGCCGTCATTGATTTTGGGGGTATTATTATAGCAAAAAAAAAAAAAAAAAAGTTTCGGAAGTGTGTCAGTGCAAGCGTGCTAACAGATGTGCAGAGCTGACCGCAGCCTGGCTGCAGAAAGAGAAAGGGTTTAAGGAGCAAAAGGGAGAGGGGCTTTGCCTGTCCCCAAACTCGCCCAAAGGGAAACTTTCATAGCGTGTGAGCAGGATGGGTGCTGAGCCCCCGGGCTGCGTGCAGGCAGCTGTGAGGGAGGAAAGTTGTGCTGCACGGTGCCCAAAGTTGGCGGCCGCAGCCCTCGGCCCTGAGCAGCTCTGCTCCGAGAGGGCGAAAGGCGCAGCCAGAGCCCCAGCACTGCCTGGAAACAAGGTAACCTGCAGGAGCCCTGAGAAACACTTGTATCTCTGTGGATCCTCTCGAAACTAAGCCAGCCGCAGCAACCCTTGTGAATATTTTTACAATCCGTTTGCTTGTAAATCTATTAGGAGATGGGCATATGTTCCCCAACCGCTTCCGAGATCCTCTGCAGACCCGGACAGCACTGGGGTTTTCCTGACAGATGACACAAAACCTGGTGCCATCCAGGTACAGTGCTGGAACCGACGCGCTCCAACTCTGATGTCTGTGTCTCCCTTTCTGAACCGCTTTCCCTTTAAATCTGAACCAAAACTTCACCCTAATGAAAAAAGACGCACACAAAAAAAATCTCCCTTCCCAAACTCCCACTGATAAAAGCTCCCATCGATCCTGGAGGGAAAAATAGGAATCCTGAAGGGAAAAATAGCCAAGCCATGGAGAAGGGTGCCCCACTCTTATCGGGATTGACAGGGAGCACCCAACGGGGCTGCGGAGGGAAGGAAGGAGCTCCTCGGGAGGCCTCTCGCCCTCGCCTCACTTTTCCAAGTGTGCAACAAGAATGCAAGATTTTCTAATAGAAAAAGAAAAAAGAAAAAAAAAAAAAAAAAGAATAAAGCAGTGGGGGGAACGGGACAGAGAGCCCCATCCTGTGGGCCGGGGTTACGTGTCCCCATGGCACAGCCAGGCCCTGCCAGCCCCGCACGTGGGGCGACGCGCTGTGCCCCCGCGGCAGCCGGGGCCGTGGGTGCCAGGTCGGGCTGCGGTGTGCGGGGCAGCCCTGAGCCCCGGCCCTACGGCTGCAGGCACTGGGGGCCGGGGGGGGGCGCGGCCCGGCAAAGGGAAGGGGATAAAGTTTGGCGGCTCCCGCCCTCTCGCTGCGTTTCGTCGCCTTTTCTCGCCGGAAAGCGCCCGGAGAGGCTTTCTCGCCGGCAAAAAAATAGGAAATAAAATAAAATTCAAATTAAATTAATAAGAATAATGGAGTCAAAATCTCCTGCAGGAGGAAATAATCTGGGGTAGGAGCCCGCCACAAAGCGTTTCCTCGTTAAACCATTATATCCTGCTAATTGGAGGTGTGCAATTTAGCGTCCTGCAGCAGGGCGCGGGGTTGGGGTGTGGGGGGGCGCCGTGCGGCCGTGCAACCCCGGGGGCACCGCGGGCCGAAACCCCCCCGGCCCGAGCCGCCCGTCCCGCGCACGCGAGGGGCGCAAAAGTTGCGCGGGCGGCGCTCCACGGGCGGGGAGCGGTGCGGGAAGGGGGGGGAACACGGCACGAGTTGGGGCGACCCCCGCGAGAAGACGGTGCAGCCTGCGCTGAAGCGCGCGGGGGGTCCGCGGCGGGGTCGCGCGCGGAAATCGCGCGGGGAGAGCGCGGGAGGAGAGCGGCGGGACGGCGGGGATCCCCCTCCCCCCCGGAGCCCCGCGGTGCGGTGCGGGGTCGCGGCGGAGCGGCGCGGGGAGCGGCGGCGGCGCCGCATCGATCGCGGATGACCAAGCACCCGGCGGGGCGCGGCGTGCGGGGGGCGTCCCGCAGCCCCTCGGCTCTTAATTACGGCGTTAATAAGTAGGCGCCATTAGCCATGTGCCGACACAAATGGCCGTGCGGGAAAAGGGGGGAGAGGGGAAAAGCAACAAAGTTGAAGTTTCGGCGAAGCGGCCGCGTTCGTGCCCCGGCCCCGGCCCCGCAGCGCGGCCCCATCGCGCCCCGCGGCCGCTTACCTGCGTGAGACAGAGCGGAGAATACATGACTGCTGCGGGGGGCTGCGGGCGGAGGTGTGCGTGTGCGGGAGAGAGGAGAGAGAGGGGGAGAGGGGGGGTGAGAGGGTGGGAGACGATAAAAAGAGGGAGAGTGAGTGGAGAGGGCGGGGAGCCCCGAGCCTGCTTCTTGCTTTCACATTTCCAACTCTGCCAAACTGCAGCCAGCGCGGAGCCGCTCCATGAGCTGAACTTTAACCCCGCCTCGACTTTCCCGCACTACGCGCTCGGCATGCCTGCCCCGCGCGCCGTTAAAGGCATAGCGCCCGCCGCGCCGCGCTGCGCTGCGCTGCGCCGCGCTGCGCGCCCGCTCCGCGCCCGCTCCGCTCTGCGCCGCCCGCGGGGGCGGGGAGGGGCGGGGAGGGGGCTGCGGCGCTAC